TTCATGTGCCGGGAGTTTCTTGATGACTGCTTTAATTTCCCCAGCTGTTATTAGTCTGTTCAAGCTGTCTGTTTCATGCTCCTTCCGTGTTGGAAGATTTTACTTTTCTACAAATTTATCCATTTCATCAAGGTTTTCAAATTCCTTGGCATATAATTGTTCATAGTAGTTTGTGACAATCCTTTGTATTTCTGTGGTATCAGTTGTTATTTCTCCTCTTTCATTTCTGATATTATTAATTGGGTCCTCTCCCTTTTTTCTTGATGACTCTGATTAAAGGCTTGTCCATTTTATTTATCTTTTCAAAGAACCAGCTCCTGGATTGGTTGATCTGTTGAATTGTTCTTTTCATCTCTATGCCATTCAGTTCTGCTTTAATCTTCACTATTTCCTTCCTTCTACTTGCTCTGGGATTTATTTGTTGTTGATTCTCCAGTTCTTGAAGTTGTTGTGTTAGGTCTTTTATTTGAAATGTCTCTATCTTTTCTAGGTAAGCCTGTATTGCTATGAACTTCCCTCTCCGGACTGCCTTTGCTGTGTCCCATAGTTTTTGACTGTTGTCTGTTCATTTTCATTTGTTTCCAGAAACTTTTTGATTTCTTCTCTTATCTCATTATTGACCCATTCATTTTTTAATAGTCTACTGTTCAGTCTCCATGAGTATGCAAGCTTTTGAAGTTTCTCTTTGAGGTTGATATCCAGTTTCAAGCCTTTGTGGTCCGAGAAAAAGTTTGGTATTATTTCAATTTTCCTGGATTTGCTTAGGCTTGCTTTGTGTCCTATTATGTGGTCTAACTTTGAAAAACTTCCATGGGCATTTGAAAAGAATGTGTATTTTTCTTCTTTGGGATCTAAGGTTCTATATATGTCAGTTAAGTCTTTTTGACTCAGTGCGTCATTCAGCTCCACAATATCCTTATTGATGTTTTGTGTGGAAGATCTGTCCATTTTTGACAGTAGAGTGTTGAAATCCCCTACTATCAGTGTGTTGCTCTCTATATCTTTTGAGAAGTCATCCAACAATTTCCTTACATACTTGGGGGCTCCTATATTCGGAGCATATAAATTTATAATGTTTATGTCTTTGTGATAGATTCTTCAAGTATTATAAAGTGACCCTCTGGGTCTCTTTTTGTGGCGTTTTGTAATTTACTTTGTCTGATAAAAGTATGGCAACCTTGGCCTTTTTCTCTTGCTCATTTGCTTGGAATATTTTTTTCCATCTTTTTACTTTCAATCTGTGTAGGTCTCTGGCTCTGAGGTGGGTCTCTTGTAGGCAGCATATGTGTGGGTCATGTTTTCTTATCCATTCAGCTACCCTGTGTCTTTTGATTGGGGCATTTATTCCGTTTACATGGAGAGTTATTACAGATAGAAACTTATTCATTTTTTCTCTTTATACCTGTGTTCCTCTCTCTCTCATTCTTTTTCTTCATCTTCTTAAACCAGTCCCCTTGGCATATCTTGGAATGCTGGTTTGGTAGAGACGTATTCTTTTAGCCTTCGCTTGTCTGGGAAACTCTGTATTTCCCCTTCTATTTTATTTGAGAGCATTGCTGGGTCGAGCAGCCTTGGCTGTAGGCCCCTGCTTTTCATGACTTGGAATATTTTTGCCATTCCCTTCTGGCTTGTAGTGTTTCTGTTGAGAAGTCAGCTCCTAGGCGTATCGGGGCTCCCTTGTATGTTACTTTCTCCTTCTCCGTTGCTGCCTTGAGGATTCTCTCTTTGTCTTTGACATTTGCCATTTTAATGATGATGTGTCTTGGAGTGGACCTCCTTGGGTCCCTCTTGAATGGGGTCCTCTGTGCCTCCTGGATCCATGACAGCCTTTCTCTCCTCAAATTAGGGTAACTGTCCATCATTACATTTTCAAGGAAGTTCTCCATCCCTTGCTCCTCTTCTTCTCCTTCTGGTATCCCTATTATACGGATATTAGTGCGTTTCAGGTTATCCTGCATTTCCCTAAGTGTCTCTTCATTCTTTTTGAGTCTTTTTTCCATTTCTTGTTCTTTCTACCTTATCCTCCATCTCAGTGATTCGATCCTCAGCTTCATCCAGCCTGCTTTGGATTCCTTCTACTGTGTTCTTCAATTCAGAAATGGTATTCTTCTTATCCTCTTGTGTCTTCTTGATAGTTTCTATGTCTTTTTCCAGGTTGATATAGTTTGTTGTTGTAAGATCCTGATAGTTTCTCTGTAGTTTCTCATAGTTCTCTTTGAGCTGGCTGAGCTCATTGAGCTTCCTTAGAGACATTGTTTTGAATTCCATATCTGATAGTTCCCTTGCCTCTATTTCATTTAGCTCCCTCTGTGGGGAGTCCCTTTTCCACTCATTTGGGGGCAATTGCTTTTTCTTCTCATTTTTGTGAGAGTCTGTCAAGTAATTCATTCATTTATTTATTTATTTTTGCTTGTGCTCTAATTGGGCTGTCTAGATTTCCTAACTTTGTGAATTAATCTTCTGTGGTAGTAGGCAGGTCTTTTTACTTATTTATTTATGTATTTTTTTCTTTAGTTTTCTTCTGGGCCTTCCTCTGATGATGTCAGTTGTCGACCCTATATGACCTTGTGTTGTTTGTTTGAGCCTTCCAGGAGTCTACTGTCTGCATCTGATACCTGCTTTGGGCAGCTGTGTGACCCCTTCACCAAGGGATCCACTATTTCTGTGGATCCCTTTGCACTCTCCTGCAGGCTCCGTCAGCACGCTCCCCAGCCCGACAGGACCCCTGTCCGGACAGGATCTCCAGCCTGCCTGGGCGCTTTTATCGCCCAACCTTGAGCACTTGTCTAGCGCCCGCGCCAGTTGGCGCCCCAGGACTGGTCAGTTTAGGGTCTTTTATTGTGTTCTTTCCCTGCTTTTGGCTCTTTGGGGGCATCGCTTGTCCTCGCCAAATGGGGACTATGGAAATGGGAGGAAGTCAGCTCCAGGACTCTCCAGTTAATCCTGTCTCCAGTCTCTCCTCCAGGGACTCTGGGCAGCTCTGTGACCCCTTCGGCCAGGATCCACTCTTTCTGCGGATTGCTCTTTGCTCGTGGGCCCACATGGGTCCATTTACACCGGTCCTCGCCGATCTGAGCACTCCCTCGCAGGCCCCATCGGGGCCCACCCTGCGGGAGGCCTTGCTAGCCCGCGCGAGCCCTGGCCAGCCCATGCGGGTCCACACACATGCTCCCCAGCCCCCGCCAGCCACTCGGCGCAAGTGCGTGCCTGCACTGGGTAGTTTTGGGCTGTCTGTTGTGTGCTTTTCAGCTTTTGGCTCTTTGGGGGTTTGGCTTGTTCCCATACAGTGGAGACTAGGGAAAGGAGAAGGAGCTGGGACTCCCCGGTTCCTTTTCCCGTTCTTTCCCCAGTGCCTCCGTCTCCAGTCTCTCTTCAAGGCTCTCAATGCATCTGTGTGACCCCTTTGGCCAGGGATCCTCTGTTTATTCCAGCTTCTCTGCACTTAGCCCCCGAGCTCACACACACACAAGCTGTGTGTGGAGCACACAAAAGGCAGGTTTATACCACCCCTTACCATCCCTTGTGCCTGAGCGGGATGGTAGCTGCAGAGTGGGAGGTGCGTTATCACCAGGGCTCCGCCGGCTGCTGTCTCAGTTCTCTTCACAAAGTCTTCCTCACCAATCTTTTCCTAGGCACCAGCCCACTCTGCTGCCACCTCTGCCCAGAGATCAAGGAGGGTGGCTGCCACTGCAATTTTTGCGTTGGCCCTTTAAATGTCTCTTTGCATCCCCAGCCACCTGTCTCTGGCAGAGAGCGCCCCTAAGGTTTTCGCGGTTGTGTTTTATCTGTGTTTTCCTGGTTTTCGCTGCTGTAGTCTATAGGTCCCTGTTTATGATTCAGACCTCGTTTTTCTCAGGGGGAGCTAACTGGCTGTTTCAATGTCCCTCTGGTGCTGGTCCCCGTGGGCTCCCAGTTCACCCTCTCAAGCCTCCACCACAGTTCTCACCCACTGGGATGTGTGAGAGTTGAATCCACTGTCTGTCCGCGGCTCCAAGGCTCTTCTCCCGCTATCGTTCCACGGTTTTCCAGGTGATTTCTCCACTATTTAGTCACAATTCCAGTCTGGTCTTGGGAGGAGGTCACTGTGACTCCCATTCACTCCTCCGCCATCTTCCTCTCCTCTCTTTTTTCTTTTCTTTTTTGGTTAAGTCCCCCTTTTCTTTCCCAATTGTCATTTTCCATCCTTTAGCTCCTGGGCAACACAGTCAACCCTGTCCATTCTAGACCTAGTTCCCCTCTGGTTCAGCTCAGACATGCTCTGCTCAAATTCCTTGCACCCATCTCCCACCCTTCGCTCAGTCTCTTGTTCCTGGTTTTCCCCACAGACATTAAGATTTATTATTCTGAACATTAAGTTTTGAGGATGGAGTACCAGTTGCCTAAGTTCACTTTTGTGCGTTAGGCAGTGAGTAGGTATGCAATTAAGACTTGTAACTCAGATAAAGAGAAAATAATAAATTTCATGGGGAGATGTGAATTGAGTGAATTTTTTTTTCTACCCATACATTTTCCTTGTCTTTATGAGCAATTTCCCAGTTTATTGTAAACTATTTAATATAAGCTAATTAAATCAAGTAAAGTTTGAGAAATGAAATAATATTTCATTGCATAAAACAGTGAGGAACTCCAAATACTCTTTAAAAACAAAACCCAAATCCCTTAGATAATGAAAAATGGCTTTTTAAATTGTTCATTCATTCATCCATTTTAGTATCTTGGTATTTTTAAGCAAAATCTAAAAATTCTACAAGATCTCAGTGCCTTCTAAATTTGACTTCTACATGACATACCATATGAGAAAACATACGTGAGAGAATTAAAAATTACCTTTCACTTCACTTCTTTTACATTTCTAGGGGACATACGCACTTTTTTTTTCATGCAATATATTAGCTGCCTACCCTCAATCAAAAGCTTTCCTGGGTTCATCTCTCTGAGTGTGACAGGGTCTTGGGCACAGTGACCCAAATGTAGCAGAGCAGGACACGGACATTCCTTACCTTTGAAGAAGACAAAATTCCCATCATTGTTTTCATACACTGCGTCGATACCAGGAGGCAAGCCACGCCAGAAGTAAGTGATCTGCATGGGGTACCCATCCATGACCCTGTTGTTCCTCACACGCCAGAACCACTGTTCCTGCAAGCCAAGCACAAGGTCGCTCAGCATTGCTGCCTGGCTGCCCCACCTGGGGGAGGGGTGCAGTAAGGGGAGGTGAAGCACCTGAAGCCAAGCCCACATCCTTGTCATAACAGTCAAGAAACAGCTAAACACTTGCCCACAATAATCTCAGAGTTTTTTGTAGTAAACCTCCCAACCTCTAACCCAATAGTGTGATTAAAAAGGTAATGTAAAACACTCAATCTTGGCATTGACATTATACCCAGGGCTTCCCAGTTGGAAAAAAAGAGGGAGCACGGACCACACCCTGCCAGATCTTGAGTCAGCTTTCTAGAGCATGACAGCAGCGTGGGGACACATAAAGCATCCTGGTGTGTGTGGGCACCATTTCCAGTGTCAGAGATGCCTCCTGATCTCCCCACATTGCAACCATGTCCTGTGTAGTTATAATGGAATCTTCTGTAACCATCTAATGTGTCCTGCTTGGGACAATAAATTACGTGGTCATCACAAATTAACAAAGTGATCCTGAAAAAAAAAATCAGAGAGGATTCCAGTCTGAGCCAACTGTCTGTCTTAAATGTTCCCAAAATGCCATGGGCTCCACTTGGGCACAGAAAAGATAATTCAACTTTAGAAGTGTCTGTTCCTATCTCTAGTGAATAGCACATGACTTGTACCAGAGCAGAGGTACATAAATGCTGGTGAGTTGGTAATGAGTCTACACACAATATGGTACACCATAAATTCTTACTAATAGCAAAACATAAATAAACTAATTAATTAAAAAAATAAAGGTACTTTTGATGACATTGTTTTATACTAAAAATTTCAGAATAATGTAGAGACTATCTAAAGTGCTTTAATATTAGAAAAACTAGATGTTTTAAAAATTAATTTTTAATAAATTAAAATTTACTCTTTCACTTTATTTCAAATTTCTGTATGTACAGTTTCACTTGCAAGTTATATATTTGTACTAGTTAGATAAGTGTGTGTCACACCAATTCTTCCATTTCAATTCCTCTCTGTTCCTCCTCTCCCAAATCATTAAGTGATTCATTTTAGGGCTTTCATGAGCTTCTGGTAAGAACAGTTGGCCTGACGAGGTGTCCCCAGATTTTTCAATTATTCATACATCCATTCATACACATGTACACACACACACACACACACACACACACACACACACACTCCACACTCTACTGAGGATTATTGGATTTGAGGTGATATGATAAAAAATGAACTTTTCCCATCTAAATGAATCCAATTAGTAAACTTTTAGGAACCTTTGAATAGTTGTACTTTGTTTAGTTATCATTGGCTGTTTTCTCTACTAACCGCTGTTATTTATGAATAAAGAAATAAGTTGATTAATTAAGGAAAGGCTCTGAGTTCTCTGACCCTAATCGTGGTCACCTTGGAAATATACTAGTCATTGAGTACTACATACAGATATATAGTAATACTAGTCACATTAGTACTACATACTAGTATCTAGCTGATAACCCCAACTGAAATGAGGTGGCCCTGGCTACACTCTTGCAGGTAGTCTGCAATTTCACTGAGCATGCCAATCAAAGGTTGGCCAAAATAATTCTGGGGTAGACAGATGACACAACACCTCACAAGCTCAAGTCACTTTGTATAGTCTGTCTTTTTGAAAGATGCTGCACACACACTCACAATATGGAGTTAGCAAGTAAGATATTAACAAGTGATTCTTTTAAATCATATCCCTATTGACAGTTTTGGATTTTCCCTAAATGTCTATTTTCAAGAAAGAACCTGTTATAATTACCCTGGAGATTTAGAAATGTAAATTATTTTAATAAATAGAAATGCATACTCATGTTTCAAAACCAAACAGAGTTAGCATTTTCAAAACGTGTTTACTATTCATGCTAGATGTATGTGATACATTTAATAGTCTCCAAGTGTTAAAATGTATCTTTCTTTATATATTAACTTATATCAAAAAAGTCTGGACACCAAAGGGTTACGTAATAAGTCAGAGAGTGATAATTTTCTTGTTAGTTAGTACTACTGAAGTCCAGATATAAAGAATATTAATTTTTGATGGTGGCTGGGTGCTCAGCTGATTAGAGCATTGTCCCAATATGCCAAGGTCATAGGTTCAATCCCTGGTCAAGGGCACATACAAGAATCAACTAATACATAAATAAGTAGAACAACAAATAGATGTTTCCCACTCTTTCTCTCAAAAATCAATAAAAAATGTGTAAATAAATAATTAAAAAGTTTTTGAAACTTAAAAATTCATAATTACTGATGCGTTATATTCCAATTTGTTTATTTCATTTATTTGTGTGGATAATAATGAAGCGTGCTGTATGGGGAGTCAGGTTAAGCCCTAGAACAAAAGAGTCTGAGCAGCAAGCAAAAGGTGGGAGTGTGGACACACATTTCTTTTTAGGTGATTACATCTATTCTCTTTCTTCTTGGATCCACTCCTGATCATGAGCCACTTTGTGACAGTGGCAGTGAAGAAGAGGACAATTTACTAAAACCTGAATCATCAACTTCTGCCTTTTAGGACAGGAACTTTAAACTCCAATGTGACATCTCCACATGGCTCAAGGACCTTGACTTTCCCTTCCTTTGCACTTCTCACTTGGATGATGGGGAACTCATGGTACAAAGCCTATCTTCCCAGAAAATGGGTTTTGGGACATGAATCCCCCATCTTTCAGGTGGCTGTCACCTGAAAATTAACTACTTTTGCATCAGCACCTGCTTCTCGAATATTGGCTTTTAAAGTGGCAAGCAATGAACATACATTCAGTTAGTTTTTGGCAACCCAGATGGGACTCTGTGGAATCCAGTAAGGCCCAGAGAGCCCGGGCTAGTGGTATGAACTTTTTGTAGCAAGCTGACCCCATGGCAGGGATTGCAGGAATTTGCCAGTTTTTTATCTTGGGGGTTCTCCCTGCTCTCCCTTTAAAAGCATCAGCTGCCATTAAACGCTTTGCTGGGGAAAGGAAATGGGTCTCTAAGGATTCAACAGGCTCTAATCTGGGAAGTGGATGCACTTCAATCTGGTAAATAGGTTCAAACTTACATCTGGTAAATAGGTTAAGATCTCTAATGTGCAAACTTTCATGTTGTTACATCATAAGGATTCTACTCAAAAAGGATCTAAACTTGATAGTTCAAAGATGTGGAAATGATTTCACCCCTATCCCAGAATGTAAAACTCAGAAAGAAGGGAAAAATTGTTTTTTTTTTTAACACTCTTAATCCTCCTCCTAGAGGCCTGAGCACTGCTGTGATCCTGGAAACAAGTGGTGCCAAAGCTTATATCTTCCCCACTTCTTCTCTTGTCTCTGTAAAAGTCATCAGAGACACTAGATAATGAAACAGCTCACTTCTGAGCACACTAAAAGAATTCAGTAATCACCAAGAAAAAAAAAGTGAGTGTATCTGCCAATGGAAAAAAAAAAAAACCTGTTTCTGAAAGTTATGTAATTTATTCAATATTCTGTCAATCTATAGAATGGTAATTGCTTTTAGTTGTCACTAAAATTTAAAAAACTATATTTAAGTTGGAGAAGAATGTAAGGTTTTTGATAATAAAAGGTATAAATTATGGCAATGTATTTTAAAGAAAATAGAATTAAAAGTAAGTTGTTCTAAAGCTGGTTATTATTTATGTGTTAAAAACAAGCAGACTAAGGGAAGCCATGTAAGTTGAAGAGGGTATGTATAAATCAAAGAAGGTCATGCAGATTAAAGAAGGATTGTGTAGAGAGAAGAAGCAAAAAAGAGAAGGAATCAAGGAAGTGAAAGTAGATGAGAAAGGATATAGAAAAGGGGCATACAGGAAGGAAGGACACTGGAGTAGGAAATCTCAAGAAGGGAAAAAGAAATGGGAAAAAAGGAGTAAGAAATAAAATGTAAATTCATGTAGGAAGATGGTAAAGCAGGTGATAATTTTAATGACAAATAAAAAAAGCCAAAATCTCCTTTTGATTGTCCAAAACCAATTGTTACTTCCCAACATAAATTCCAGGTACAAAAGACAGTGGGGAACAAATTAATTGATTTATTGGTCTATTATACTCATTTGTAGTTCTAAATGTTAAAATGTTTTTACAGAAAAAGTAAATTTCTTTGTCAATTACATCATAATCTGATCTATTAACTTGGATTTGTAAGGCTTCTTTTTTGTCATTTAGGGACATTGTTTTATTCTAATGCATTTGCAAAAATGTTCTATCTTCTAACTTATTCTAAAACATGAGTTTCTGAGAATAAATTTTCAGATTATACCTTTGAAATAGATGAGGATTTTGGGGGCTCTGGAAAATGACTGGATTTGTAAAGATACTGGTGGATAATAGGGATAAATAAGAGTTGACTGTGGGGCTGAAGGAACTGAGGTTAATTATTGTTCTTGTGACTTTGTTGAAAATATTGCTAATTAAAAATTGTTTTCATAGAGCAACTTATTAAATTGTAGTGATATTAAATCATTTTATTTTTTTTCCTTACTTTATCTCTCCAGAATTTAAAACCACTTAATAAGTGGGTATCATTGTTTTCATGGCAATACATTCATTTGCATAAGTCCAATAGGAATCTTATTCATTACAGTTTCCAATTGTGGTTTTATTAACCAAGACTTTGAAATGTCAAGTTTGAAAGAAACATGCCTAGTCTCTGGATGTCAGCAAATTCTCTAAAGAATAAAGATTGACTTTGAAGCTAATAAAAGCCCCTTAGATAAATAGCCTGGCACCTTCCTTTTTAATTAATTAATTTATTACATTTGGTTCATAGCAGTATTTCCATGTAAGGAGCAAAGCTTATTTTCCTGGGAGTTGGTACAGAATAACCTCAAGACATTTTGGGGACCTCAAGAACGTGAGTTTACCCAAACCCATAGGTGTTGCAGGCAAAGCCTGATGGCAATCTGTGTGGCTTGACTTCTCTGCTCTGTGGGGCTAAAGTTCAATCTGAAAATTTACTGAAAACATTTTTCAGTAAAACAGATT